CCCCCCGTCAGAGAAAGAAGTCTGAAAGGAAACACTGTATGTATGTGTTTACAAAAGCTGTGCTTTGGTTGAGATTTGATCTAAAACTGCATATTTAAAATCTCAAACTCTAAGCGTTGGTCTCTTCGGGTTGGTATTGTTTTTTTTTAAATATCTGTTATTAAATATAGTTTAAATCATGGCCACCGTTTGTACTAGACAAGAAGAGACGTAGCGATGGGGGGGCAGTGGGGGACACGCCGACCTTAGGGGGCGCCAAAATGGTTTGGAAAAAAAAATCGAAAGTTTGAGGGGGGTGCAAATCGAAAGTTTGAGAGGGGTGCAAATCAAAAGTTTGAGGGAGGGGGGTGCAAATTGAAAGGTTGCTCCCGAGGGGGCGCCAAATAGGAAGTTTGTCCCCGGGCGCCGAGAAGGGTCGCTACGCCTCTGTAGACAAGAAATGGATCTAAGCTAGATTTTAAAAAAAAAACGATAAAATATCATTAAATCGTTAATAATAGACATAGAATCGTCTAGATTTCTGGGTGTAATAATCTAATCAATTATAATCTAAATTCCTATAAACTGTTAACTAATAAGTTAATATATTTAGAATCTAATAGGCATTACCTTCTTATTATTGTTATTATTAAACATAAATAAAATAAAAGTTCTTTATTATATATTAGGCTCATAAATAATATGAGTAGTTATTAGATCTAGATCTCAACTTTTTAATTTACCTTTTGATAGCCTATAGATCTACCAGTTCAACACAATTTTTAATACTTCCCGGCACCAGTAAGGCTTTAAGAAAACGTATTGCTACCGTCAGATTAAAATTCAACGGCCTTTGTATCCACAACTATCATTGTTGGTTTGCGTTCTTGTGTAAAAAAACAACGCCGGAAATGCGGACCGCACCGTTGCATATTGGTGCGCTGGGAAAATCCGATTTGTTTAAATTTGAAAAAAATTGCTTTATTTTGTTTTTAAAACCCTCAACTCAAGATCTACTTTCTTTCTAGTATAGCATTGAGGGATATTAGAGAAGAAAATAAGTGAATGTGTTATTTGAGTGTGTGTGTGGGGAGGGGAGGGGGTGTGGGGGAGGCTTGGGGCTGTTAAGTTTAAAATTTAAGGCTGTTAGAAAAAGTTTGCAGTGCGTGGATCTAAGTGTGAGTTGTGAATATCCTTGTGATGTTTTTTATCCACGAAGTCAAATGCTGGTAATAACGTGGTGTGAACGATCATATAAAGACGCTTATTTTCGTGCTAAGATAGATTGTAGTGGGTGGCGGGAGGCGTATACTGTGACTTAAACTGTGCAGCATTTTGTCAGAAGTGAGTACAGTCGACCTTAACAGGTAGGATAAAGAACGACGTGGTAAATTGGTAGAGCGTTCGACTGCTGAACCAAAAGTCTTGAGCTCGGCTCCATGGCACGAACTCTCTATGAGTCCACCCAGCTCTAAAAGATATCTGACTTACGTTAGGAAAAGTAAAGGCGTCTGAGCATAATGCTGACCACACTACCCCTTCATATGCTGATGTTACTAAAATTGGTAGTAATTTACACCACCTGCCCAATGGATCATAATGTTTGAAGGGTACTTCACTTCACTACACAAACACTTTGTTTGATGCCCATTTAATTTCTTGATACATCAAATGAAAAAGACTGGTTAAAGATCCACCTTGGCTATACAGTTAAAAGATCACAAGTCAATTATGTGAATTGCTATTCATACGACCTTTTCATCTATAAATAAAATGTAAAAAAAGAGAATCAGCAATAGTAATCAGAGCCAACTGTGACACGATCTATGTAATTATCATGATTGCTTTTTCTATATATTATCAATAGAAAAAATAACAAACGGAGCTTTTTAAAAATGTAATAAAAACATCAAATGAAATTATATATTTTAAGTGGACGTTTTAATAACCAAACTTAAATTTAAATTTATAATAAATATATATATATAACTTGATTTGATATAGAAATCACGTGTTTACGAATTTTATAAAATTAAAAAAAAAACATGTGAAGTAACTCATTGTCAATAATTTTTTAAACTACAAAGTTTGAAAAATTGTGAAAAAAGATAAACATTTCAAAATTTTATAACAACAGAAAATAAACAAGGCTAATGATGGAGGAAAAATGACTTTACGAATGTTGGAAAAATGTGTGCAAAAATACTTTTGTGCGTACAACAGACAATAATTATCATTTTTATTCAAATCTAAAATTCAACAGAGTAATCTTAAAAATATTACTTAAAATGGATTTCCGAGCTATAAAAAATGAATAAACACGCTAAAATGAACTAAAACAAGAAGATAAATACATTTCTTTAGCTGTAGTAGTTAATGTTTAAATGTTTATTTGCTTAAATAAATGTAATAAGTCTTTAGATCAACAGATAAAGAAAGTGTTTTTTTCTATTGCTGTACACACCATTCTATTTAGTACATGGATTAGAGACTCCCATGTAAATTAAATCTCTCACTAATATTTTTTTGAGTTTACAAGAATCAAGAGGTCTATACATTTAAATCACTAACTTCACAATTCATGTTTTCCAAAACTGGCCAATAACTGCTTAAAGCTTCGGAGCACACAAAACCGGACAACACATGACACTGGTATAAAACTGCTTTAACTTAAAAATCACTTAGCGCACACCAACACACACAGAGATGCAGATTTACACATTATCAGTTTATTGGGTTTCTATATTTTCTGAAACTATCATTTTCACAGAGGAACTGAAACCAATTTCTAAAACTATGAAAACGTTCAGATGTAGATTACATCACTATGTTTCTCTAGTTTTTTTTTTATCTTTGTCAAACTTTCATACTGCATACATTTAAATGTAAGGCAACAGCTAATTAAATATTATTTTTATTTTTATTACCAATTTAGAGTAGCAAAGAGGAAACCAATGGTAAGTATTTTAACTAGCTAGGTAACACATCTAAATTATAACATCTAAAAACCTGAATAAATAACCACGTTGATATCTTTGTCAGCACAGCAGATGAAAAGTCTAAATTTTCAAACTCAAGAGCATCGTGACGTAATCCCTCAGAAACGATGCCACCGTGTAAGCCTGAAATTCATGCTTCTCATCTGATCTCCTGGGTTCCTGATTAAGTTTCCTTACATTCACAAAAACCTGTAAACATAATCATTTAAAAAGAAAAATTAAATAAAGCAGTATTTTTATTGTGTGTGTATTTGCGCGTGTGTTTGTTTCTGTATGTGTTTGTTTGCATGAGTACACATACAAATTAGTATTTTGTTGTTATAATGGATGTCAGATGCCGTGTAACGAAGATCTTTCATTATTCACATATTAAAAACGTGTGTACACTATGTGTGAATGATAATGAAAAAATAAAACCTTTGTGCTTTTTCTAAAATTTATTAAATGTAAGTAGTACGAGTTTTAAAAAATATGGTGTATATAATGTTTCTTTTATACGCCATGTTGATAAAAACAACTTTTAAACTAATTTAATCAATTATAGTGTTAAGGTAATGGAGAGGAAGAGCTAGCCAAACATACAATACGAACGTGAGTATATATATATATATATATATATATATATATATATATATATATATATATATATATATATATATATATATATATATATATATATATATATATATATATATATATATATGAGATTATATGTTAAAGAATGTTTTTCAAAAGCGACTTACCTATTTGTGTTTCTTCTACTTAAAATTCAAACGAAAGATATTTATCCTTCTGTTCCACTAAAAATAAAAGATAACAACAGATAGGTAAGGTACATAACATTAATAAAATCACCGATGTTACAAAAATTATGGCTAATACCTCAATTTGATATGATAACATACGATATACTGAGTTGGTCCAGGTTTAGTATCAAACGGTTCTGAGTCACTCCATTACTGATTTACCTTATGCAGAGTAAAGGCGGCTTGGCATGGAGCTGACCAATCATTCCCTGGTATTACCTAGATAACTGAAACATATGAACTCTACTTCACCTGCCCAATGAACCGTCAGGCATAAAGGAGCAGTTTACTTTTTCTGTGGTAGGCAGATACACATATAACCCATTTGATCAGGAAGTTTACGTTGTATATTGGTAGATACCAATAGATATTATGAAAACAATTCGATAAGAATATGTTTGGGATTGGTAGATACAAAAACATATGATTGCTTATTTAAAATTGATTGAAATCGTACTGGACTGTACACAATAACCCTTTTGATTATCGTATGTTTACCCTTTGCTAGACTGAAACATATTTTGCCAATTTAACATTGTGAATTTAAAAAAAAAAGTTAAATCCAAATTGACTTACAGAGTTCTTCCAACGCTTCAGATTTGTTTGCAAGTTCTTTATATTTCTTTGTATGTTCTTCATTTTTCTCTGAAAGTTCTGTTTTTTCCTTTATAAGTTCTTCATGTCTCTTTTTAATTTTATCAAATACCTTGATAAGTTCCTTTTCAAGTTCTTTACGTTCCTTTTTCAGTTCATCGCGTTTTTTAAGTTCCTCATAATATTTCTTTTCCAATACTAGGTAGAAAAAAGAAAAAAAAAACAAAGGTCAAATCACAAACGGTCAAAACACTTCTGTGGTCAAACAACCTAAGATCAAAGCCCTATGGGCAATGCGCCTGTGGTCATAGAACTGTGTGTCATAAAAAGTATGTATGGTAAGGTTTCATGTTTCAGAAATTTTATAAATGACAAAATGATTAAAACCGTTCAAAATGTAGAGCGATAATCATAAAGCAAACACCGTGAGCGTTAAATACACTAACCTTTTAATTTCCATTTTGTCCATACACCATAAGCAATAATTATAACTGGAATATATATATATATATATATATATATATATATATATATATATATATATAAATAAATAAATAAATAAATAAATATATATATATATATATATATATATATATATATATATATATATATATATATATATATATATATATATATATATATATATATATATATATATATATATATATAAATAAATAAATATATAAATAAATATATATATATATATATATATATATATATATATATATATATATATATATATATATATATATATATATATATATATATATAATGTCAGTTTGAAATTTTGCAAAGCTAGTAAGTATTGTTTCTGATAAGTACAGAATTATTCAAGTTTTAGGTAGACTTGTAATCTAAAACGTAATTATAGTATGTATCGCTTATCTAAAACATGGTTACAGTGTTTAATCGCGAATTGTAATCTTGCGGAAAATCATATTTCAGTATTATATTCTAGTCTTATGTTTCCTTTTCTTTTGGAGTGGTATACGATACCCAGAAGTTAAACATTACTTATTTCATGTTTCTAAAGTATTTACTTTGTAAGTTAATTGGACAAAATTGCATATATAATAGTACTTTCGCGATACAAAGTAGACAATTATTTTTTATGAAAACTATTATTTATAAAAACAATTTTAATACACTCACTTTTTATTTTGATTTAATCTTGTATTTAAATACTATTTTAGCTTCTCTGCAAGGTTACTATGCAAGGTGGTTTGTTTTAGGCCTTATTGCAATTTTAAAGATGTATCTTATTCATATTTTTTTAAACATAAACATATATGCGTGCGTGTTGCTTTAGCAATACATGTGTAACGCAATTTGAGAATACATTAACTGCCCAATTTTCTTACATTTTGAAACGCATCGAACTGACACTAACTGAAAATAACACAATTTAAAAAGCACATTCTTTTTCTCCCTTTCTCTCACTCACTCTCTCTCTCTCTCCCTGCCTCTCTTTCCCTCTCTCTCTATATATATGAGACTCATAATGTATATATATATATATATATATATATATATATATATATATATATATATATATATATATATAATACATACACTATAATTGTATACAGAAATATACTTACTATTGTAAATCTCTACTAGATAGTAACTATAGAGACATTTGTCGGGAGCTAAAAAACCTTAAAAGAATAAAATATGATACCTGGTTTTAGAATTTAAAAAATTAAACTGGAAGTTACATTTTAAAAAAAAGTAAGCAAGTAAATAAGTAAAGTAAATAAACTGTCATTTTGAAATTTACAACCCAATGGTGCAGGTGAAGTAGAGTCGACGTTTTTCAGTCAAGTAAAAAGTAAAGTTCCCTTTTCAAACCTGACGGTCTATAGTCTATACGCCAAGTGAAGTAGAGTTCACTTGTTTCTTTGACCTCGGCATATGAAGAGATAGTGTGGTCAGCACTACGCCTTTACTTTTCCTAACATGTGTTAGGTACCCTCAGTGGCGTAGCGAGGCCGGGTGTCACCCGGTGCGGCACTTAGTGGTGTCACCCCTCCCCCCCCCCCCAGAGGCGTAGCGACCCTTCCCGGGGATAAACTTTCAAATTTTCGAAAAGCACCCTCTCAAACTTTCGATTTTGCACCCCCCGCCCCCCACCCCCTCGCTACGCCTCTGGGTACCCATCAGACGTGTTTCAGTGACATAATTAAAAATCGTATATGAATAGTTTCCATCGGGGCAGAATTGCGAATTAGCAGTCGTTTTCTCCACCATCCGATCTCCAAACATCTCTTCCATGAATCTAAATGCACTATATAAAAATGTATACCTTCAATAGGCTCATCTGGGTCTAAGTCTTTGAACGAACGAGGATTGTAATTTTTTTGACACCAAGCCAATAGGAAAAGTAAGATCAGCAATGTGTGTCTCAACATTTATTCTGTAAAAAGAAAAACATTTTTAAACAACTCCTAGATTAATCGCAATATGCCCATTCATCTAAAGTGAAATTTTAACTAGACATAAACGAAAATAGATCACTTTTTTTAGTTTTAGTCTAACATGGTTTAAATTACTCAAATTATCGTCAAAATAACAACTTGCATTTTTTGCTAATCATAAATATGAGAAGACCCGCGGCGTATCATACGCCGATATTTAGTTGTTTTATTTTCTACTTTTCAGTCATTCATAATGTGTGAATTCGACAGTATCAACGCTGCCACTGAAAATATTTGCTTTAAAACACTATCAGTAAGCCGTTAAGGACGATACCACCACCCTCCTTTCACCCAACCCCAACCCCTACCCCTACCCTACACCCCCCACCCCCGTGAAAGTAGCCTCCTCTTAGTTACCTCCCCTAAGTTTAAAATCGTTTCAAACTAAATTATCTGCCCCTAATAGGAGTCACTAAACCCGGCTCTATGATTGTAACATTCAGCGTGAACCACAGCTCACCAGACCATGTGGGGGTGGGGGAGGTTGATTTATGCCTAGTGAAGAAGATAGGGGACTGCAAGGCGCGCTTACAGCTTGTTTTCTAGCGTCTCCCAGAAGACAATTATATATATATATATATATTGTCTTCTAGCTTCAGCCATAACCCTCAACTTGGACAAGTCCTAGCTCTAAGTATATATATATATATATATATATATATATATATATATATATATATATATATATATATATATATATTCCTAATCAATACCATCTTGACATCAGCTCCCTGCTTAGAATCTTGGAGTCAAAATTCGATCTGCATCTATACTTACATGGATTCAGAGGCGTAGCGAGGGCGGGGACCGGGGTGCGGGCCGTATGGGGGGGTGACACCAAGGCATAAAATTAAAAAGTGTACAGAAGAAAAATGCTTTTACGCCATTTCCATTATTACTTAATTTGAAGTTAAATCGACTTACGAGGGGGTGGGCTTACAGCATAACGTAAACGTGCTAACTTTAGAGAAAATAATGCATCCAACAAAATTATTAACATATCATTGATAAACATCATTACTGCAGTGATTAAAGCTTATAAACATACATGTAGGCGTTGTGTGGCATATATTTAAATTATAGACCTATATAGGCCGACACACACACACACACATATATATATATATATATATATATATATATATATATATATATATATATATATATATATATATATACCGGTAATTTTTAATAGCAGACTAAAGTTTCTTAACTTTAAGCACAAATAATGTTGTGGTTACAACCGGCAGAGTGCGTTTTTTTTTTGCTCCAATATTTCTTTTCAAGCAGCTTATCATTTCCAAAACATTGTTTACTAGATCTAGGACCTAGGGTAAGTAAATCTAGGCTACTCAACAACAGCAGACCTAAATAAGTGTATTAAGTTTTTTTTTTAAAAAGTATTTAACTCTCACTATTGTAATATGTCATTGTAACTGCTTCCACCCCTTCTACATGTTTACACTATAAAAAGTCTGGAATTTTTACCAAAGAAAAAGTCTGGTTTCATTTTCAAAATAATTTACGAGCTCTGGTTCTAGATATCTAGGTTAGTCATTTTTACTATTCTCCCGTAATCATTTTTAATAGGCCTAATACTAGATCTAATACGTACAACTAGATTCTAATTATTTATTTATTTCCGTTAGCCTCATTATTATTACCTTTAGTTTGTATTTATCGGCAGTTTAATTAATTTGCTGATTACCACAATTTTCTCGGAACCAGTAATGCGTTAAGAAAACATACTGCTGTTATGTATATTTATTACCAACGGGCTTAGTACTTTCTGAGAATCCTGGATATATTGGCAGTGTTGTGTTCAAAGCTGTTGGCCGCACTGGTTCATCTTGGTGCGGTGGGAAAAGCCAATTTTACACACCACACCAAGATGAAAGGGCTTGTATGTAGCCAACCAACATTACATTTTCCATCAAGATTTTTTTTAAAAACCAAAATGTGAATATTTTATTAAATTGGTATAAATAAATAAATAATATAAATAAATAAACAGAAAAGAAATATAAGCTACTATTTAATCGTCGTCAATGCTAATGATCAAAATGATAGACTGCAAGACAACTGTTTGAAATTCTGATTGTTTGAAGTAAAGTACAGCTTATTATTATTTATTCGAATCTGTAGAATTTTATCCAAAACGAAGTAGAATAAATATAATATTTTTAAATAACCAAGACATAGTTGTAGGCCTACTTAAATTGATTCTAGTATTAGTAAAAATTGTTATAATTGTTACATTTTGTATATTCTTGGAATTTTAAAATCTTGAATCGATGTCTAGAAATAAATAGCCGCCATGTTTTTTTTTGTTCTTAACGGAGACATGTTCACAACAAATAATTTTGTTTGGAAATTCATATCTCTCCCTGGCTAACGAGACTGAATTTAAGTGAGCGAGAACGAGACTTTGAATTTAAGTGAGCGAGAACGAAACTTTGAATTTAAGTGAGCGAGAACGAGACTTTGAGTGAGCGAGAACGAGACTTTGAATTTAAGTGAGCGAGAACGAGACTTTGAATTTAAGTGAGCGAGAACGAGACTTTGAATTTAAGTAAGCGAGAACGAGACTTACATTACAAGCTCTTATCTGGATCTCTTTTGCTTTATATTTGAAATCTTTCGTTCGGGGTGGGGGTGGGGGGGGGGCTGAAAAAAATGTTACAGCTTCAACCCCCGCCCCCCCCCACACCCGATTCAATATACAATTTATATATAAAATATATACTTTACCAGTTTCCGCCTCCCCGGAAAATATATTCCACCCCCTTGAAAATTTCAAGATCCCCCTCCCCCCCCCAATCTCTCGCTAACACGAAAGTCACAAGTTCAGATCCTGTGCTCGCGGTCGTAGGTCGACCCATTGACCGAATTGTCCCTCATGTCCGAACCAGTTTGTGCGATGCACTTGGGGTGGAAGGAAAAGCTTGGCGGAAACCCATGTGTCGGCGGCTGGTAACATGGGTAAGAGAAATGCTACATTCTTAACCTGTTTCTAGTCTGTCTGGCTAATGAGCATTAGCTTGAGCCGGTAACGGTCGTATAACAGAAGAAGTATTATATATAAAAAAATTACTGGGCTATTTCCCATTTACCGTTTTTGTGTATTTTATCTTGGTAAGAAATTATAACTTAAATTGTTTTACTTTTACTGGCCACACCTATTTCACTTCAAGTAGTGATTAAATGCGGTTTTAAAACATAATTCTTAACAGATTTTCAAAGGTATATTCAATACAAAAATATAAAAAAATGACTGTAATCGATGTTCCCGAAACGGTTTTAATTTTTAAAATGTAACTATAATTTTATCACTTGCCATGCTTTTTAGAAGATTTAAAAAACAAAGATTAAAAAAAAAACTGGTTATGATTACACGGACTTTTCAAGCCTGTCAATTCACAATAAAGAAAGCTGTAGGTAGCTGATTATGTAGTTATACAGTGTTTTGATATTTTAATAGTTTAAATTTATATATATATATTTAATTAAAACAACTTTATTTTACAAATTTTACTAATTTTTATTGAATATATCTATTATTTATTTTTATTCTCATTTTTAACCAATGCACACCTCAATCTATCGCGGCTCTAGCACCACTAGCATTTTTAGTGAACCTACAATTTGCAAAATGTCACAACAAAGTAGGTTTGTCGACTTGGAATCATGTTTAAACGACTTATCTCTGAATGTATCATCCTCTGGCTCTTTATAATCGGTTTGTGATATTTTATCAAGATCTTCATACAATTATGTAAAATAGATTTTTCAATTGAGAAATTACAAAAGAGGATATCTAGATTTCCTAGATCTAGATTCTAGATCTAGCTTAGATTTTAGATATACTTTTAAAAACAGCAACAGGTCTTATTGTAGAATGTTTTGTTCCATTTAGGTCTTTACCCTAACCTTAACCTTACAATTTAACTTATTCGAGTCGGGCCAGCAGCAAACACTACTCCACGCTCTAACTATAATCATGAAGTTGATTTCAACCTCGGCTTAAATCCTTACCATAACCCTGCGGCAATTATGATCAGTTTCTAATTAAGCTGTAGAAACACGTTCAATCCACTTACCTTAAAGGCTGGTTTTAAAAAGAACCTAAGGGGTTGGCGTGGTCGAGTCGGTAAAGCTCATGGTTACTAAACCGAAAAGTCTCGAGTTCGAACCCTCGGGCAGATGAGGCTCGTTAGCTGGAGACAACTTGCAGTATGTAGTTTGTTCTTGGTTGGACAAAGGCTATGGAAGCAAATCCAAAAAGAAAAGCAGGCTGAAATCGGAGTCAATGGCGCATAACCAGTTGACACGTAACGCTTAAATCTCGATCCCCTTCAACACTAATAAGTAAGAACGGAGAAGAAGAAAGAACCTCACGAAATATATTAATTATTAAAGAAACGTTTTTTAAAAACTTATTTCACTTATAACATTATTGGTAATTTACAAATTACCCTCAAGGCTGGTTTTAAAAAGAACCTCACAATTATTAAAGAATCTTTTTTTTTTAAAACTTATTTCAACTAAAACATTACTGATAATTTACAAATTTTGAAAAAAAAATAGCATTATCTATCTACACATGATGCACACTATAATGGTCTCAGAAAAGGTTACCTAAGTAATTACTTTTGGTCGTTTCTTACTCACTCTCAACACACTGAGGGTTTTTATTGATATTTTTAATGGCTGACATTAAGCTTGTTTGTTTCTTTTGACTATAAGTTGAGTTGTATATTATTGTGTTGGTAATTGAATGGTCTTTAATATAACAGTAAGTAAAAATAATCTTCAATTTTTGTCAACTTTGCAGTTTGTTTTACAACTTTTGACAATAAGCAGAGTTAGAAAAAAAAACACATAAGCACACTAACGCGTTATATATCATTGTGTAGGTAATTGACTGGTCTTAAACATTGCGTTAAGTAAATTAATCTTCATTTCTTGACAACTTAGCATTTGTTTCACGACTTTTGACCGTTAGTAGAGTTAAAAACATTAACACACGTATGTGTTATAAATCATCTTGTAGGTAATTAATTGGTCTTTAATATTACGTTAAGTAAATTAATCTTCAATTGTTGACAACTTAGCATTTTGTTTTACAACTTTTGACCGTAAGTAGAGTTAAAAACATTAAAACACTTATGTTTTATATCAGGATGTAGGTAATTGATTGGGCAGTAAGATTGAGTTAAGTAAATTAATCTTCAATTCTTGAAAACTTTGCACTTTATAGAGTTAAAAATATAAGCATACTAACGTGTTATATATCAATGTTTAGGTAATAGATTGGTCTTTAATATTACGTTAAGTTAACTAATCTTAAATTCTTGTCAACTTAGTACTTTTTTACGACTTTTGACTATAAGTAGAGTAAAAAGCATTGACACACACGTGTATGTCATTGATTTGTCTTTAGATTAAGTTACGTAAAATAATCTTCAATTCTTGACAACTTAGTATTTTATTTTGCGACTTTTGACTATAAGTAGAGTTAAAACATTGACACACATGTGTATTTCATTGCTTTGTCTTTAGATTAAGTTACGTAAAATAATCTTCAAATAATTCTTAACAACTTCGCACTTTGTAGAGTTAAAAACATAAGCACACTCACGTGTTATATATCAATATGTAGGTTATTGATTGGTCTTTAATATTACGTTAAGTAAATTAATCTTCAATTCTTGAAAACTTAGCATTTGTTTCACGACTTTTTACCGTAAGTAGAGTTAAAAACATTAAAACACGTATGTGTTATAAATCATCGTGTAGGTAATTAATTGGTCTTTAATATTACGTTAAGTAAATTAATCTTCAATTCTTGACAACTTCGCACTTTGTTTTAAGTCTTTTGACCTAAAGTAGAGTTAAAAAACATTAAAACACATGTGTTATATATCAGGGTGCAGGTCATTGATTTGTCTTTAATATTTCGTTTAGTAAATTAATCTTCAATTTTTGACAACTTGGTTTTACTCCTTACAGTGACAGAGTGTCGTACCCTGTACGTGTTTGGCTGGGAGGGTTTCGAGGAATTCGACTGTACTGTCAATGTATTTTCGCTGGAGGCATCTGCAGTCGAGGTACGTTGTGCCTGCAACTATTTTGGATACTGTTAGTGTTTACATTAGATGAACATGGTAAGGGATGGGCTGGAGTGTTCAATTGGAAACATGATAAAAAAATGAACATGTGTTGTTTTAGAAACTATCTTTATTTTTTTTACTGTAAGCTTTCGTTAGTTAATTAGAATTTTGTGAAGGATTGCTACTAATTTAATAGCTAGTTAATGTGGCAGTATAACACTTGAAATAGAAAATTGCAAAAAAAAATTATCAAAAACAAAAAAAAAGAAATAAACTATTATTGGCCTACATACGTCATAACTATTTACCGTAGTGGTTATAATAAAGCAGATGTAAAGCACCTTATAAATGAAGGTCTTTATATTTGACATACCTCGTTTTATAAATATAAGACCCCAAAATCTTATATTATTTAAGTAAGCTTTCTCAAATAAAAGCATACTTTTCTGAAAATTAATGGCTGCCAAACGTGTATATGTTGGGCCGGAGATATTGATAATTAAATATTTCTTAGTAACTCAAATTCATTAGACGCGTCTGTGTGTAGTTCAAAATAAAGATAACAGCATTTTAAATTGTATCTTAATGTTCAAAAATTGTAGCTACGGTTAAAAGAAAATGTTTGTAAAAAAAATAATATAAAGCATGTTTTAGTCCCCTTAGATTAGACTCGACTTTTTTTCTGAAACTTTACTGATTTTTCGATTATAGCTTTGGGTATGGTGAGGTGTAATACTATTTAAATATTTGGTTATTTTATCTTACTTTGATTTAGAAATTAACATTTTTTAAACTGAAAATTTTCTTTATAATATTTTTTTTTGCTTACCGCAAATACTACCAGTCACGTCGCTGGTTGGACAAAAAAAATGCCACCCACAAGCATCAACCTGAATTTCCCCACAATGTGGGAAAAGACAGTTTATAACTGATGCATTGAGATAATATATGTCCTGATCTACTTAGTGTATGATGACTTGGTCCAATGGTAGAGCGTTCGACTACTAAACCAAAAGTGTCAAGTTCGGATCCTTGACCCCCCTTCAGCAAAAGTAAAGGTGGCTGGGGTCAATGCTGACCACACTATCCCTTCATTTTCCTTGGTAACAGTTGAACTCTACTTCATCTGCCATACGGACAGGGTACTTTACATAACTCTAACCCACCCAACGCATCATTAACATGAGTAACATTTAATTCACACTTAAAGAATAAGCTGTCCTTTATGTTAAAGCGATCTATATGGCAGATAAAGTGCAGTTTATATTTATAAACTAGATACCGCTCAGCCGAGCGTGTTTTTCAGTGACGTTATACCGACTCAAACCCGGTGATCAGAAACAAACATTTATGCCAAGCAGTCATGCGGTATAGCCTTCAACAACGCCGCCCAATATCTTTCGTTAACTTCAGAGGCGTAGCGACCCTTCCCTGCGTCCGGGGACAAACTTTCAATTTGGCGCCCCCTCGGGAGCAAATTTTCAATTTGCACCCCCCTCAAACTTTTGATTTGCACCCCTCTCAAACTATTTATAATGCAAAAATGCAGCTAAAATGACATTTTTATTTGTTATTACAACCCATTTTGGCGCCCCCTAAGGTCGGCGCCCGGGGACATATGTACCCCCCCTTGCCCCCCCATCGCTACGCCTCTGGTTAACTTGTTTTTTGAAATTGTTCCTTCCCCCTACAGATCTACGTCCACAGCCATCCTCCCACGGCTCTAAAAGAAAAGGTCACGACAATCAATGTGCAAGCGAGGATAAGTTACGAGCTATTACTCCACAATTTGTAACTATTTTTTTTAGTAACCTTGTCTAAATGATTACAGTAATGTGGCTGGTATTTTTAAGGCTTGGGGGTCATTGTTAAGAAATTAGAAATGGTTGGAAAGATTATTTTGTTTTTTAGTGTTTTTATTTCAAACATTTTGTATGGGGAGTTTTCAGCTGTATTAGACGCATGCTTTATTGATTATTTATTAATTATATAAATATATACATATATATATATATATATATATATATATATATATATATATATATATATATATATATATATATATATATATATATATATATATTTATATATATACATATATATATATATGTATATATATATATATATATATATATATATGTTATATATATATATATATATATATATATATATATATACATATATATGGTAGAATAAAAATCATATAGCTTATATAGTATATAGAAATACTTATGATTTGGACTGCAGGCGGTTGTGGTGCTAGGTTATGATAATGTGTCTGTAATCAATGCATTCCAGATAGGTATTTGTCTTGCTCAATGTTACCTGCAGTTTTTAATGAAAAAAAATCACGGACAATTCCAATTTACTTTTCCCGGATACTACTGAAATAAATTTCCACGACTTTCGAAATCATCCACTTCGTGGATCTAGGAAACTAGAGCGAACTAAGTGTAACCTAAAAATAACTCGTTCACAGGAATGTGTTTTAACCTTGGAGAAATATCTCTGAATGTGTTGAAAAAAACATAAGTTTTAGTATTTTAAGAACAATTCGATGATCAGAGTTTCTTCCAGGCATCTCTTCGCCCTCCCACCGACCGAAATGAAATTTATATTATTTATATAGGAAAATGTATACTTTTAACAGTGACCTCCCCCCCCCCCCCCCGAAGAAAGTCTACCGCCCCCCCCAAAATTTAAAGTGCCCCCCCCCCCGGAGAAAAAGTCTGGAAGAAACACAGTTGCTGATGCCTGTTGTACATATAAATGCTTAATACCTATTTATTAACAATCGGACTCCTAGTCGGAAGATTTTCTATATGAGTTGTATCCCATATGTTTAACTGATTCATCAACTTTGCTTAAACATGTTATAAATTTAAACGTTTGACATTTTCAGTGACGCTCATGCTCCATTTTTGGTCTATGAAATATTTTCCGCGACTAAGTTTGACGCCATGGTGATGGTGTTCACACCAACCCTTATACTGGACGTCTTCCACCCGCTAGAAGTTGCGAAGATGGGCGTGGTCTACGTCTTTCCGGTCGATGAGTGGGTTATTTTTTTTTTTTACACAGGACGTTTACAAGTTTTTTGTCTGCATTGTGTATGCAGTGTACGAATGGGATATTTGATTTTTTTTATAATGATGCAACAGAGTTCCAATTTGGCACCACCAAACTCCCCCCCCCCTAGTATTTCCTTCCCCCAGAAATGTAAATCCGCCAGAGGCGTAGCGAGGGGGGGGTGGGCATATGTCCCCGGGCGCCGACCTTAGGGGGGGGGGGCGCCAAATTGAAAGTTTGAGGGGAGGTGCAAATGAAAAGTTCGAGGGGGGGGGGGGGTGCAAATCGAAAGTTTGTCCCCGGGCGCCGGGAAGGGTCGCTACGCCTATGAAGTCCGCCTCTACCAAAATCTCCAACTACCCCCCTTTCCCCCCCCCCCCCTGGAGAAAAATATTTGACAGAAAAACCATGTGAAAATATTGTCTAAATAGTGTATACTATACATAACCCTAAATAGCATTCTATGGTAAAATCAACAGATAATATATGTTAATGCTGTTTACAAACTAAGTCATGTATTTGTGCATATTATCTACACATGTTACGTTGATGATTAAAGTATACTTTCTACCAGTTGTATGCAAGGTGTGTTCATGATGGGTAGGCTTACATTTCACATATTGAATGCACGTATTTCATACATTATAACGCGTGAGCCCCTATTGCTGTGGTAAAGGCCTTCTCAAAGTCGTTTACTTGTGTTTATGTGACGGAGTGGTCTAGCGGTAGAGAGCTGGACTGCTAACCCGTAAGTCTCGAGTTCGAATCCGGGTTCAAGTCCGTCCCTGTTCAGTTGACCGTCCCTGAGTCCACCCAACTCTGATGGGTACCTCACTGACCACACTATCTCTTCGTATGCCGAGGTCACAGAAACAAGTGTACTCTACTTCACTTGCCCCATAGACCGTCAGGTTTGAAAGGGAAACTTTAATTTACTTGTGTTTAGTCACTGTCGTTTACTTGTGCTTCATCGCTGTCGTTTACTTGTGTTTAATAACTGTCGTTTACTTGTGTTTAGTCACTGTTTTTTTCTTGTGTTTAAGTTGCAATGTTTATTCTTCTAGCGTGTTTTACACCGTGTACATGGCAACACCGTTCTTCAACGTAGCTGCAGGCGTAACTATATATTACTGTGATCCAAATAACACAGCGGCCTTAGCTAAAACGCTTAAAGCAGGGTATCCGCAATTTTACAGTTTAACAAGGTAATTCCGCATTAAATTTCATGTTTATTTTTTACTAGCCATCCCGGCCAGGCCCTGCTCTGGCCTCTGTGAAAAAGCTATCTGTCAAGGAACATTACCTGTGTGTTTAGTAATCATCATATACCCGGCATTGCCAATCCTAACGAAAAATAAACCAGGAGTTATCTCCCCTAAACTTTCTCGAGTATTCTATTATTACACTACGCGAGATGGCAACTCGGGACATAAACAATATTTTTAAACCCTTTTTAATTACTT